TCTGTTCTCACAGCACTCCACAGTCATTAAGGAATCAAGCCACAGTCTGTCACCAGCAATCTTGAGCACTATCCTGGATTATGTACATTCAGTTTCAATTAAGGGACTCAAGAAATGCTAGGAATGCATCCAGTTGTTTTGGCAACTCCAGGTCCTTCCACTGGGAGTAGAGTGGGGAGCAGTCACCCAAACAAGAGCTGCTACATGAGAAGGTTTCATCAAGTATCCAAATTTTTAGCTTTCAGCATTTGTGCTTACCCTGGTGATCTGAATGTTGTTTAGCTGCTGCTGCCAGTGGAGAATGCTCTCCATCCTATGCACCCACATGTTGATGTTTCCAACCAGGACAGACTTGCCAACCCGCTGAACTAATGTGCAGAGGGATGTGTAGAGGGTCTGCAGCAATTCCCGTATCAGCCTGATGTTCTGCTGATCTTCAAGGACTACAGAAGAATAGGAAAGGTTAAAAATGGGAACTGCCAAAATCCTTCTCTGAATCTACATGTTCCTCAGGCAAGTCAAGTTATTTGCTATAACCTCACAGGCCAAGAAACAGCTTGTGCTTTTCTTTTTAGAGGAAAGCACAAACATTAGCCAGGCACAGCAGGTTAGACAGCAGATGGAAAGAGATCCTCCCAGGATAAGCAGATGAGATCTGCCATTTCTGCAGCACTTCCCATTTCCAGCCACTGGCAACCAGCCAGTTTTCCCCTCCGATACTGTGTGAGAGGTTATCTACATGTACCACATTCCCATCTATCCCAGCTGATGTGCAGGGAGACAGCTCAGGATCTGCTTTCTCTATGTATACTAACAGGGTGTTCTCCATTCCCAGGCTTCAACCAGAGCTAAACATCTATGAAGGAAGTGCCAACCACAATTCATTCCCCCTAACAGGTGAAGACACCCCTAGAGTTCTCCTTTCCTCCAGAGCTATGGAAGCACTAGATACAGCAAACTGGCAAAAAGGAGGCAGCAGAGACTGCAGATGTGCCAGGCTGGGGGCAGGAGCAGCCAGTGCTTCTGCAGTCAGAACAGGACTCAGAAGGATGCAGGAGGCGTGATAGCAAGCAAAGTTGGAAAAACAGGAATCACCTCTCAGACACCTACCAGACTATAGACATTTCTTCCCACTCCTCCTAGTACTTCACTGAGGGAAAAGAAAGCAGAACTGCACTAGAGAAATAAGCAGTGGTGCCCCTCTTCACCCTTCTTGTATTGCCTGACCATTCTCAAGGATGTGGTTCACACAAAGTACATCAGATTAAATCAAACTCCCCCTCACTGCTTCTGTTTCTTACCTTTCTGCACCACTTTTTCCAAAATGTTCATGTAGTTTTTCTGGGCAATGCCACTCAGTGACGTCAGCTGAGACTTTGCTATCAGCTCCAACAGCTGTGGATAAAAATAGAAGTTGCAAGCCTTAGAGCACATAGATACCTTTCTAATCTTGACTCCTGGTCACATGACACAGCAAAACAGTCCAGAGACTTGTTTGCTGCTTGAAAATAAAAAGGAGACAGAGCAACAGAACAAAGTAACAAAAAGGGGGAGAAGAGCAGAGGCCAAATAATTAAACTCACATCAAAAGACGTGGGTATGGGGGGGAAGGCATTTTAATTATCTTCACGGGAGGAAAAAAATTGATTTTACGGTTCAGAGATGCAGAGAAACCACAGAGCAGAGCTCAGACTGACAACCACTATTCACACCAGGGGAACAACGAACGGCCAACGTCACTGTCCTTCACTGGGGCATAAACAAGCAGTGTCATAAGGGAACACGAGCAAATGCCTGTGTGGATGGGGATATTATTGATGGAGCATTAATGAGAATCAGACTCCACAATTTACGTCAATTCCTGGGTTGCATGGGTTTTGTCAGAGTGCTGTCACTGCGACAGAAAGGTTAAGTATTGTACTAAAAACAATCCTTCCCCCCTGCAAACCCCTACTGCCCCCCAAGGTTCCCTCCCCATTCAGCTCTTGCAGCTACACCACCAAACTACCTTCCCCCTTTGTCCTGTTTATTCATTAACCTCTCCCTAATGGAAATTTCACTTTTACTTTCGATTAGGATTGGCTTCCCATCACTGACCTCCTGACTTGTGTACAAGCTGAACACTGAATTTGGGCTGCAGTTGCTAAACGAAGCATTTCCCACTGGGAAGATGCCCTCTCCTTCCCATTTCTCTGCCACAACAGCAGCTGTGGAAGTTTCCTATAGATCATGCTCTGCAGAACATGTGGCCTGTGATCTTACAAGCCTTCCTCCCTTCCCCCAGCATTATATAAATGCACTGACTGTCCACGTGTCAGTCCATTTGTTTTGGATGTACATAGCCTTCTGTTTTAATTTAGAAAGGAAAGGAAAAACCTTTTATGCTACAAATCAATCAACACATTACCGCATGACTCGCTTATTAATCCTTTATCATCTGAAGTTCCAGTATCCCATTGCTGGCACCGCAGAGAGTCCAGAGAAGGTGCAACTACTTGTGTCAAGTAACTAAGATGGCTTTTGACAAGACTTGATAAGTCATGAGCTGAACTGTTTGCCCTGCTATAAGAATGACAGGAATGTATCCAAAAAGTCACTGGCAGCCTGCCATGGAGCAAGGAGCTCAGGGAGAGGTATCACTGCAGTCATTCGTCCGCTCTGCTCATCTGGGGCACTGGCATGTGACTGCCACTTAGGAGCACTGAAGTCGCCTAGTGTGACCAATCTCTTCTTCTGTTTAATTTCCAGGCCAACACCATCATCAGATGGCTTTGAGTTTACATTCTATTAATATCTTGCACCTCACATGACCAAAAAAAACACCCCAAGATGAAAAAAGACCTGCACTAACTCCTGTCAAAGGCAGGCTCACTGTTTTCTTGGCTTGTTTAGAGGAAACAAGAGATGTAGGAGAGTTGGGCAATATTTGGTGCACAGGCATCTGGATCTTCTTGCTATATCAGCTAAATTGAGACCACAATAACTACTCCTAAAAACAAGGCAGCTTGCAAAACATTTAAAAAGTTGATAGAAGATATTTTCTTCATTCTTTGAAATACTGGATAAGTAGGAAAAAACTGCCAGTGTCCCAAAGTAGTCTGTAATACTCTGCTTACACTAAACTGTTTAGCCTTCAGACCTTTGATTATAGTGATCAATTTGCCAGACTCCATCTGTACATTAGCCACGCATGCACCCAGATCAGCTCTTCTGTGCATAAACAACCGCTGTCTCCAGATTGCACTGTTCTGGAAGTGGCAGAGACACAGCTTTCCTCCAGACTGGGTGTTAGCAATATTGTGCCTATTACTAGAAACACCAAATGCATGCAGTGATAAGCATCACGTAATGCAAAACCATAAGATGCCAGGGCCATTCTTTTACAAGAATGAGGCTAAAATCTAGGTTCCTTGAAGAATGCTAAATTGGTACAAAATTAATTTAGTCAAAGGAACAGATTCAAATTTGCCATGTCTATGTTTATCAAGGTTCAATTTATGTTCAGTGAACCAGTTCAGGTATCATGTGTCACCTCCCTTCTCCTGCAGCAATAAACACAGGATGAAATTCCATATGAAAACTATGTTGTGAATACTTCTAGGACTATTCCACTCTCCAGGGACTGCTGACTGAAATAACTAGCCAGCCCTCCAAATCAAAAGGTATTTTTTTTATTCTTCTGTGCTCATAGTAGACAAAACCCAGGTAAGCAATACAGTTCATCTGTGCTGAACATGTTCCCATGCATGGGGGGGGTCTTCTAGTCTTGGCATAGGCCCAGAGTATTGTCTCAGTTAATGGACTGCCACATTGGGGTCTACAGAAATATATAAAAAATAAAATCAATGTTGTCACTTGCATAATGCAGACTAAAAGCCAACTGATGAATTCAGATTAATGCTGAGTAGGGTAAAAAGGCTGGAGAGCTGCACACGTGTGGTATGATGCAGTTGCATTAAGTCCAGCCCACGCTCAACTGAGAGGGACAGATGGTAGGAGAGAGTGCACAGAGAAAGGTTAAGAGCAATTTTAAAAGGTCTGCAAGTGATTGTATTCCAGCTGATTTTAACTGGAGCTGGGAAGTCTGTAACACCTCTGGAAAGCAGGACATTAGATCCCAACTCACTCTTTCAGCTTCTCAGAAGCTTAAAAAAGGTAACCTGGTAGCTTCCTTAAAAAAAATATTAAAAATAAACCCTCCTACATCTTTGCCCATATTTAGCTTGCTATCAGAGGTCTGCCAGAACCACAGAGAAAAGGCAAAAGATGCAGTGGGCTACCCCAGAACCTCTGTGAAGCTGGCAGGAAGCAGCATCTTCCACATCAGGGCAGTCACCTGCTCACTTCCCCGAGTGAGGGAGTTCCTGCCCACGCCCCCAGCAGTCAGTCTGGAACAGCTGGTGCAGTGAGCCACTCAGCTACAGGAGCAGAGCTGGTTGTTCACCTCCCATAAGCACGAGGGAAAAAACAGCAAACAGAACAGTGCCATGTGGTAGGGAACAAGGGCCTCTGTATCAGCGCCATGAAAACACAGTGCTGTGCATCCATGACTACTGTGCACAGCATTGCTTAAACCTGCTACAGCCAGATGGCACTTTGGCCACTGTCTTGGTTCAACACAGGGGTGTGTGGGCAACCCACACCCCAAATAACCACTGCTAGGAGCTTAGAGCACACAGCCAAAAAATCCCCAGCAGTTCTGCTGCACTGAGCAGGAGGGTGCAACATTGCCTCAAAAAGGGAAATAGTTCGTAGTGATTAACATCACAAGCCTCAAACTACTGAAGTGTAAATCACCCTCTGAGTACCCCAAACCAGCTAGAGGGAAGCTGGACTGCACCCTGTGGGGATCCATAAGCTCCTGCTGGTTGGGGATGTGGCTCCTCACATCTGGGCTGCTTAGAGAAATATACTGCAGTGAAAAATTCCTCCTCCAGCCCCACCTTGCTCTCACCACACTTGACCTTGTGGCTGAAATGTCAGACTGGCTGTCAGCTGGGAGGCAGAGTAAGAGCAAAGTGAGTTATAATGATTTACAGCACAGATGCTGACAGATCTCCACGAGTCAGCAACCATCTGATATTCTTTCAGGACAGCATCAATCCAGGCCTCCTGGAGCTAACTGCTATTAAAACTTAAGAAACAAATTTAAGAGAGTACTTTAGTTGGCTGCCCACAACCTAGATCATGCTATTCCAGAAGAGCTGTGCCGATGCAGCTTAACCTGACCTAAGCTTTTATGATCAGAAACAGCACCTTCCCTTGAAACATTACCACAGAACCATCTTAAAAGAAATCTTTCTGAGGGAAGCCACCTGCAAAAACCTGTCATCTGAAGAGTGTTCCTGAAGGAGAACCATTAACTTCCGGGCTGCAGGCACTTTTGTCTCTGTTCTCATTTACTTATGCTTACAGAAAGCTTCCAGTCTCTTCATTAAATCTGTAAGACCAGAGAAACCAGGGCTGCTTCAAGACCAACAACAGCATTGGTCCTCTGGGTCAATCACACATTTCCTTACTCAAAAGCCAACACTGATTGTCCAGTACCATGCAGACAGATGCACTGGTTTAAAAGATCAGCAAGGACCAAGTCATGGTGGCAATCCCATACTTGGCACCTCCAGCACTGTATCAGCAGACTGCCAAGACAAGATTGATGTTGGAGGAAAATTTCTTTCACTGCAGTTACATGAACTTACTAGCTCCAGCTGATGGTGTTTGCCCATGAAAAATACCTGCCTCTCTTGAAGGAGGTACCCATTTTATCAGTGCACCATTAGAAGCTCCAAGGACTTAGTTTGGGTGTACCTGAAGCACCCACTTCTGTGACAAAAAACCAGCACTGAAGACACTGCAGCACTTAAGAGAAATGCAGAAAGGCATGCTTTGAGAAAGGCAAGTTGACATTAAGACTGAAAGCCCATTTTGCTGTCAGCAGAAATGCAGCTTATATCTCTATAGGGTAAGCTTGGGTGTAGTCAGCAGAACTTCAAGCCTGCAGCTGTTTCACCTTTCCTACCCTACAGACATCCTCATTCTTCCCCAGCCTCCAACTCTAAACTGTCCTCCTTGAAAAGCATTTGCTTGATGAATTAAGTAGTGTGACATTAATCAGATACCCTGAGCAATGGGTGGAACTAGAGAGAACAAGGAGAGAGGGAGGGAAGGGAAAAATGTTTTGCCTGCCAATATTCAAGGCATTTTCCATGTGACAGATTGCTCATCTGTGTGCTCTAGGAGGCCTGCAACTTGCAAAGGACCATAAACATGATCCACATCTAGGCAGAGATTTTCATGGGTATATCTGGCACATAAGGCATTTTATGAGCTATGATCCACCAGAGACTTGGCCGCCACAAGCCTTTCATTTTAAGTCAGTTTTATATTTGATCCACGGTACCAGGTTTAATATCTTCTTTAAATTGCCAAACCACAAGTCAGCCTCAATTAGAGAGCTTCATACTTCTCAGTAGTGCTCTATCTGTAAAACTACTGAGGGGGGGAGGGTGGAAGCTACTCTAAAAAGCCCAGAAGAGAGGTACTTTGTAGAAGCATGGACACAGGTCAACTTCCATAACAGAACACCGTTGCTTTGGATAAAAGAATCCCAAACCTGTCCTCGTAGGAAAAGGGAGGAGAAGGTCAGCTTGAGCTCTCCCACCAGACGAGACTGACTTGACTGAAATTTGAGTTTGCTCTTCAAAAAATTTAATTGGACTTCTGCTCAGCTACTGCAGTGCCATACGAGATGCCCATCACATTGGGCTGAACAGCAGAATCCCATCATGTAACACAGCATGACCTGAGGACATGCTTGCAGAGGTCTTTGGAGTTCTTCATTGTCATAAGACCACCTGCCAAAGGGATATCTGCAGCACCAAACAAGTTTCATTTTATGTTCCTTCTCTATATTTCACTAAAGGGTTATGGCCTTGGCATGAACTGTTCCTTGCACAATAATCCCCCTAAAGATGACACTGCTGTGTGCGTATATATATCCAGTATCAGGAAACACCAAGAACCTCACCACTGGTGGTCACCTTCTCTGAGCAAGCAGGGAAACAAACTGTCCCAAGATCAGCAGAGCTAGGACAGCCTGAGCTTACATGGATTCTGCTTTGCCTCACCCAGCATTCCCACTCTCTGCCACCGCCCCTGCAGTGGGGCATCCAAGTGATTGCCTTTCCTGCAGAGTCATCACTCCAAATGCCTGTACCCTTCCCAGTGTGACAGGTTTTCACAGGTGACTTGTCACCTATACAACAGGACAACAAACTAATGCGAGCCTGCTAAGACAATTTCTTCCTTAAACACTTTTCATGACATTTGACTCAAAGGAAAAGCAATACCAATGCTGCTTGCACCAGAACCTAAAACCTGAACAGCTGTTGCCTCACTAGTGATCAGCTGCTCATGAGATGTGAAAAAGAGCTGTTTATAAACAGGCTCAAGTTAATAGCAGACTTTTTTTTTTTAAAGCTTAGTGAATTCCAAACCTTGCTAAGCATTCTGAAATTCAAGATCAATTTGCAGATCACATGTGGATAAACATACAAGCATCCACAGACCTCAGGACAGTAACTCCCCCAAACACTACCACCCTCCTTGGCCACCCTGAGCCAAAAGAGAAGCCCTGATCAGTTATGCAAAGCTAGAGCATAGGGAACCTGAGGCTGATGACTCTTTCCTACCAATGAATGGTGCTAGGACTAACCAAATGCTTCACACACTGAAATCACTGCCAGTCACACAGGATTAAGAGCAACCAGGATTCTTGACAGAGAAGTTAAGATCAGTGCTGCCAAGAGGTTCAGCCCATTCCTTCACTCCCAAAATGCTCAGCTCCTGGGTCTTTCCTCTATCACTTCAATGAAGACAAAGCTCCACAGCCCTCAGCCTGGAGGCTTCTCTGCAAAGAGCTCCCCTTGCTGCTTTATGCCACAGGCCCTTTTGGGGGATACAGAATCCCATTTAGAAGCTGAAGTGAAAACCCAGAAATTAGAAGCCAAGCTTTCTGGGTTTCAGAAGTGAATTACAAATTGAAAAGTTGTAGGAATGCTAGGCTTAGGACAACTCATCTTCTAGATCATCACCACTTTCCTCCTCCATTTTAACAGATCAAAGTTTTGGGCACCTATTCACAAATTACTTCATGCAATAAAGCCTGACACACATACTTGCATGCTTGTTCATCTCTTCTTAGCCAGTGCTTCCCACCACCCAACTGCTGCACAGTTCAGACCCTCTCATCAAAATAAACCCTGGCCTTTCACTCACCCTCACGACATAGTTGAATCGCCTGGAGTCCAGGATAGCACTGGAGAAGTCAAGTCGGTTGAAGGCTTCTCCCAAGGTGCAGTAACCATGGCGCTGAGAAGGTAAAACAGGGTGGGTCACATTTTGGTAGACTTGAGTCCAGGCAGCACCAGGCAGACATGACCCAGAGCAACTGAATTTAGCAAGCTAATGGGTACAAACCATGGGAGCAGCTCATGGCCTGAGGAGGCAGTCCTGTCTCCCACTGACACACGCTTATTGACATCAGAAGTGTGGGCACAGTCCAGTCTGCATTATGGTAGTTTCCTAAGAGTGACCCAAGCTGTGCTCATGACCCTTGAATTTACAGGTGAAAATGACCCACACATTGCTGGGTTCAATATGTAGTGTGAGTTCAGAGCAGTCTCATACAGCCGCTTCCCTCCATGAGTGCAAGCAAGACATTGTGATGAATTCCAATGATTTTCCATGTTAGGACAGTACTGGGTGAAAGCCAAGAACAGTATTATGGCTTGGTCTGCAAATGGCTGGGTTTTTTTTAACTGAGGGAAGCAAACAAGTCATATTTTAAACACATGTACAAAGCCTTGTACAGCGAGTCCAGGCTCCCTGATAGGGGCTTAAAATCATTACTGAAATTCCAACCACAAGCCAGATCTTCCACTTATCTCTTGAGAGCTTCTGCTGATTTTTATCAGCACAGGATCTTCCACTGCTTGTAGAAACCAGTAGGAAAGAGAACAAAGAACCTATGAAGGAACTCACCTCTTTTGTGCTTCCCTTGTGAACATAGATCCACTTCTCCTGGTGGAAATCTGTTTAGACAAAGACATTTTGCTCAGTTAATCTTCCACTTCACAGCGCTGCATCTCTGTTCTGCTCATAACATTCACTGTCTTTTAGTACAAATTAAGTTATTTTATGTTTACATCACCACCCTTGAAACCAAATCTAGCAACTTGCTGATCTTTGTTTCCATATGGCTTCATTTGAGACTGTGGCTCTGAGCCTTAGAAAGGGCTTCTGTTTCAGTGACACAGCTCAAGACTGTAAATGTTTAATCTGTCAGCCACAGATATACCATAGCACCTCCTCTTCTTTGGTCCCAGACAGTAAGTGTGGCTGACAGCCAGGTTTTGTTGTTATTGATTTTATTAACTATTCATTACCTTGGTTACAGACTTGGGATTGTATGTCAAATTTGAAGTTGAGCAAAAATGTCATGAGACACCAGGCACGTAGGAGAGAGCTTTTAGCAGTGAGGTCAGGCTCAGAGGAGCATGCTTGTGCTTGTAGCTAACTTGCTAAAAGAGAATAAACTATTTGGGACCAAAATTTTCCTGTTTCCAATTGCCCCTCCTTTCCCTTAGAATGGGAGTTGTCCCATCTACTCCCCAAAATAACTTCCTGTACCCACCACATGCTGCTAACCCAGTGTGCAGAAGAGCCCATATTACAAGTAGTTACACTGCTAGATCCTTCTCCCACTCCATGCTCACATGGACTTTTGATCCTACTTCCACCACACGCTGGCAATTCCACAGCTAGTGTAAAATCAATTTCCCTCCCCATCCTATCCTTTCCATAAAGACTATTGTGCTCCTGGAGCAACCTGTAAACTGATGAACTGAGGCTATGGAATGTACTCCTGCCTGGTATTGTGAGCCCAAGGACAGACCTAGTCTCAGTTACAGGCATGCTGACCCTGCATCGAGCCCTTTTAAATAGTAGGTCACAGCAGAATCCAGCCAAAAACTGTCATGGTAACATTTGTTTGTTCAGAGAACCGAATACACTGAGGGGCCAACTTTTGGCATCAGTTTCTGAAATCCTGGGGGATGCACAATGAGCTAATAGTAGTGTGGGAATTGTAACTCATTTCCTCTGTGTATGTTTACATTTGTAGCCTTCACATCTAACTCCAGTACCTATTTTACAATCGGCCCAGCACAGACTTTGCTGTCCCTGCAGGCTCCCCAGGGTCCTCCCACAGTGCACCATCTGAGACCCTGGCTGCTTGCTGTGCACACACAGATTTCAACCCTTCTATTGTTTTGAGCAAGCTGAAATCTTATTTCATTTTTCATGCACTCCGCACACAGATAGGATCAAAGCTTACATTCAGGCTTGTAGCCTCCAGTAATGTAGATTAGTGTTCAACATGCATATGGAAGGAAGAATAAATTTAGCCTGTTGTACACAAGGAAGTCTACAGGGGGAAAAAACTGGAACTGGTTCATTTGAATGTACCATAGGAAAAAATTACCCTCCTTCTGACAAACACAAATGACAAAATTCTGAACACAACAAGCACAACTCTCAGAAAAGGGATTACTAATGGGGGCATAAATCTTCACATTAAACTGTATCCAATTCTCCACTTAGGTCAAACATGGGCAAAAAGCCCTTCAAGACTCTAGAAGGCTCTTCCTGTACTGTGCAAAACCCATAGGTATGAAGCATTTTGCATTCTTCTGCAGCAACTTCTGTTTTTAAAACAAGCCCAAATAGATATCTTACATTGAGTCTTGGCTTTGTTATTCAGCTGATCTTTTTTTCTTTTCTTGGCAGCAACATCATAGTTGAGGCTGTTGAAGAGATTCTCTTTGTTGTGATCATCCTTTTTACAAAAGCTGTGAATGACACAAAGCAAGGATTCTGTTTATTTCTGCAGTCTGCTGAACACTATATTTCCTGCAAGGACAAAAAAATACACAGGTTTTTATGTGAGCTCCAAAGCTGCCTCCTTGCAGGCTTCTCTCAAGAAGTCTGAATGCAGTTTTTGCACCCAGTAATGGTATTTCTAAATGAGACTCTGGTGCCTCTTTTCTGGGCTAGCCAAGATACCCATAACAGACAGGAACAGGTAGTACAGATTGCACAGTTAGTGCTGGAACACTGCTGAGCAGTGTCCTTTTCCTCCCTTTAACCTGTTTCTATCCTTAAGCAACACCATATCCTCCTCCTGTAGGTTGTAGAATTGTGTTAGCCAGACTTCTACAGAAGGACTTAGACATCCCCGGGGACATATATATGTACTCAAAATATTTATGAACGAAAGACTCCCTACAAAATGCTATTTCAAATTTACAGGAAAAGCTCAGCTGAGGTTCAGACTTAGCTGATGGTTTTCCAAACCCCACGTAGTAGTGACATAGAAGTTAACAGGATCTCTTGTCCAAGGCAGCCCATTTGCTTTTGCTGGAGATCTGTAGATGGTCCTTCATTGCCCTCGAAGGAAATAAGGGGTTATAGCTCCCTTCACTAATAACACAGTTACAGCAAAGAGGCTGTGTATCAACATCTCACATTCTGCAGACCTGCAAATCAGCAGATCCAAGCCACAGTGTGAAACTGAGAAGCTTCTGGGCAGCTACACTGCTGCTTCAGAGAACCCTGGGGGTGACAGGGGAAGGCAGCACCCACTAGGGGCTTTCAGCAGAGGCCCTCAGCACACAGTCTGCTGCCCAGAGCCACAGGGATGCCTCGCAGGTGCCAGGGAGAAGACAGGTGATTCATCCAGGAGAACAAACCAGAGCTGCTCCCACTGCTCTAGCAGCTCACAAGGGATGAGACACAGCTGTCTGCAGGCCTAAACTCAAAGGGTCCCAGGCACCTCGCTACACCTCTCAGCTGCTGTGGCTCACACAACCCTGGAGCACTGAAAGGTACCAACACATGCTGCTGCTTGCAGCACTGGGCAAGCTTCCTCCATGGCAGCCACGGGGACCTTCATGCAGCCAGCAGGCTTCATCTACAGACCATGTGTTTACACTGCTTAGCCTCCAAAAAAAATAACACAAGCACCATACCAAACACACCTCTAACAGCTATTCAGCACAGGCTCCTGCAAAGGAATGAAACCTGTGGGACAAGGCTCCTTGTTTCCCGTCTGCTGGCTGTTAGAATGGCCACACCACCAGCATAAGCAAGTCAACTGACCAAGTCAGAGTTTCAGACCCATGAGGGATCCAGATTTCCTCCAGCATGATCCTGATCGGTATTCTGGTTTGATATCTGCACGTGGCCCCAGAGCTAAAGGAAACTTCCCCCGGCTTCAGAACATTATGAGCCTTGGTTCCCCCTTCCTGCTCCAGTCCCCCTTGCAGGGCATCACAGCTGCAGAGAAGGCACTGCTCCTGTGAGCTCCCCCACAACACTGCAGAAGGGGAACAGCAGTAGCACTGCAGGTGGACAATATGCACAGCAACAACAATTCAGGGAACCAGGTACTTGTACCAGCTGGAGCTAGCTCAGAAGAACCTAAACCTGAGAGTAGAACATCTTAGCTGCTCATGTCCCCCATACATGCAGCTGGGGGGACCAAAACCCAAGAACAGAGTATGGCAGTAAGGAAGAAGCTGTTTTGAGATACTCGAGCTCATATCACAGTTGCACAAAATCAGTAGGGGGTCAGGTTAACATGCCCCACACAGTGGCAGAATCTGAGCCCAAGAGCACAAGATGGATCTGCTTTAAATCTTACATGTCAACAGCACACCCTCGCCTGTTGACTTCCTACTGAATGACTCTGTAATCTGAAACCACCATAACAGCAGCAGTGGACTAACTCCAGCATAGGAGGCAGATTATTTCCCTGTTTATGTACTGCCAGGTTTCCACACACTTCTCCAGGGCATCTTGACAGGTTGAACAGTTGGGCACCAGGACTTGGCACTGCCAGGACCTCAGCCCAGGTCCAATATGTCACCTCCTCACTGCTAAACTGGAAAAGGGACGTATAAATCTATGCCAAACTCGGCGTTCCCAACACCAGCCAGACATTTTTCTATCTATTTACAAATCAACCTATTTACAGATTATAAACCTATCCTACCTACCTACAAATCTAAATCGGATTTTTATTTACAGCTCGAATGAAAGAGCAGGTGACACCTGCCCCATAAGCCTCCTCGCACAGTAACATCTCAGCAGTGGCTCAGAGCA